CCGCGACCTTGCAGCTGCCGGCCCCCAGCGCTGCAGCTTGCCCCCCCCGCCACGGCGAACCCCTGCGCCGAAATGAGGTGGCAAGTTGGCTCCTCTGCGAAAGAAGGGCCTGTGGGCTGTGTGCAGAGGCCCCTCTGTGAAAGTCGGGCCCCGCCAACAAGCCCGCAGGTGAGAGAAGGGCTCGTCGTCTTGCGTTCCCTCCCTCTGCTCCTCTCGCTCCCGCCCCCCCATCCTGTGGCTCATGCCTGAGCCTTCCCCGTCTCGAGTCCGTGCCGCGGCGGGTCCGCCGGCGCAGGCGCCACGGGGCGGTGGCGCTCTCGTCGTCGACGCCGTGCGCGGCCAGGGCCTCGGCCCTGGCCAGCCAGGGCCTGTGCGCCGCGCTGCCTGCCTGCCCGGCCGCGTGGCCCGGCCACCCGCTGTCGGGGGCGGCAAAGAGGGGGGTGACGACTAGGGGGGGGTGGATATCATGGCGTGGACCATGATATCTCCCCAGATCTCATGCCGCCTCTTCTTATTTCTTTACGTCCCTGGCCCCCCCGCTGGGCCGCGCACATGCCGCCGGTCATGATTTGCACCCCTCCCCTCTTGGACACCGCCCTCTTGGCCGCTCCCAACGCTGCCCGGAGGCACGCTGCGAGGCCCGCCGGCGCTGCGCGGACGGTGCCCAGGGCGGCGTCCACCCGCGAGAGCCGCGCCGTCGGGCGCTGCAGCGTCGTGGTGCTCGGCCCGTGGCCCGGGGCGGGGATTTGTGCACGACCACCGCCTGGAGGATCCGTTCTCGGGGGCCTCGGCAGGCGGTGGAGATGGACATTTTCGGGCCCCCGGGGCCAAATAAATATATATATATATATATATATATATTCTCATACGCACCTCTCCGAGGGAGTAGAGCTCAGAGGCGATTAATGCGTACGCGGGGCGCCGCGTTCGCGATTTTTCTGGCCGTTTCGCTGGGGACATCCTCGAAATTCAAAATCGGTGGCACCCCTCACGCAGATCGTGACGTCAGGGTCCAAAAACACATGGGAATTTCAACATGTTAACATAAAACCTTCAAAAACACATTGTAAATTCAATAATTTTGACCCCGATTCTCAGAGAATGGCGGTTTCGCTTGAAACATCCTCCCAAAATCGAGCCCCGACGTACCCTCGGGCCTCCTGGAACTTCCTGGGGCTTCCTGGGGCTTTCTGAACCTTCTGGTACCCCAGACCCCGCCTCGGAGCCTCCTGGGGGTCTCCTGAAACCTCCTGGGGCCTCCTGCGGCCTCATGGAGCCTCTTGGGGCCTCCTGAAGCCTCCTGGGGTCTCCTGAGGCCTCCTGAGGCCGCCTGGGGCCTCCCGGGGCCTCAGAACTACATGCACACACACACACACACAAGACACAAATCACGCCCAACACATCACACGCTAGACAAACATAACACACACACACAACAGCTACAACGCACAAAAAGCACGCACAACACAGAGCACACATCACACACACACACACACACAACACTCACAATCCTGGGGCCTCCTGGAGCCTCTTCTGGTATCCAAGTCGGGCCTCCCGAGGCTTCCTGGGGGGCCCTGGTACACACATCGCAAAGTGTGGCAACCCCACTTGCGCTCGAGTGCGACTTCGCTGTTGCATTTCACTCCTGCTTCAAACGCCCCTTCAGTTTTTTGTTGTATGAGCCTGGGCACACACGTGGCACTTGTATCTATATATATATATATGTATATATATATATATATATATATATGTCCATCCATCTCAACCGCCCGCTGGGGCACCAGGACGTCGCTTCCCAGGCGGTGGATATGGATAAATTCCCGCCTCGGACGTGGCGTGTCCCTGCCAAGTTCCGGGCCTCCGTCGTGCCTAGTAGCTCCGGACCTCACGCATGCCAGCAAGATCTTGGGGGGGCGGCCCCTGCGGCCGCGGCAGCCCGGAGCAAGTGCGAGCTGCCAGCAGCCCCTCCGCGACCGTCGGTCTCGGGCGGCGCAAACACTCGTCAGCGCCAGGGACGTCGGCGATAGCTGGTTGGTCGTCGCCAGCATCATCCTGCCGATCCTGCGGCCAGGCATCCAGTTTGTCACAATCCTTGGCGCCCCCGTCGGCTGAGATAGCGTGGAGCTCCCCCGACGAGCGCGCGGCCTCCTGGGCGACGTCGAACAGTATCAGGGTCAGCTTCTCCGCCACGGCGGGCATGCCGTGGCAGGCTGCCCCGCGCTTGGCCCAAAGATCTGCGGCCGCAGCGCCCGCGCGCTCCCACTGCTTGAGTCTTCCCTGCGTCGACGTCGGCTTGAGAGGCCTGGGCGAGGACTCTGGCAACTGTGAATAGGAGGGAGAAGAAGGGGAGGAGGAGGGAGGAGGAGGAGGAGGAGGAGGAGGAGGAGGAGGAGGAGGAGGAGGAGGAGGAGGGGGAGGAGGGGGGAGGAGGACGAGGACGAGGAGGAGGAGGAGGAGGAGGAGGAGGAGGAGGAGGAGGAGGAGGGAGGACGGATGAGGA